TGCCTTCGGTTACGACAAATCTGAGATGCGGCCTACACTGTTCCCACTGCTCTCTTGTAGGATTAGTACAAATTTACCTTCCTCCAGACTTGGCTTGTTATTGTATCCTTGTTTGGTCTCCTTTCTTTCCCTGCCCACTTCCCAAGCTCCTTCCTATTTTTGTTGTAGTTTCTTTTCCTAAAAATACCATTACATCACTTTAACGTCAGTCTTCATCTCAGGGTCTGTTTCTGGGGAAGGCAGCAGTTATTTTGGCAATACTATTAGGATTATTTTCATGTTAATATAGGTAGGCTATAAGAAAGCAAAAAGGTATATTCATTGGGAACAATGATGTTCAACAAAAGAGAAATATGTGAGACTATAAAATCAAAAAAATTTTGAAAATAACCCTAATCCTAAATTTGAATTCGAAATATACACAAAAAAATTATAATTTCTTTTCAAAAAATATCTTTTTCAAGTTCTTCCATTGAAAACGTCTAAAAGCAATGTGACCCAGGAACAATGAGCACTTACTTCTCAGAGTGTGGTCTCTAAAAGTTATTTTCTGCTGAAAGGAGCCAGCACTTCTTAAGAAAGCCCATATCTGAGAATAGAAAATATATAAGAGGAAGCTGGAAAGCTTTTTATGTATTGGAAGACAAGGAAGCTATTCAAGACCATAAGTCCTATCATAATGACATGGAAACCAGCTTGAAGGGACGCCCACTGGCTAAAGAAGGAACAACTGGAGCATCAAAAAGGAGTAAGAACTGCAACAGATTGTAACACATCAAATAAAATTCATGAGGTCATAATAGTACTTGGTCATCCTTGCTAAGACACTTATTCTAGAACTTCGTCAAGTAATTATGGTAACTTTCCTATTAAATCTGTATTACCAGCTTACCAAATGTATAAGGTTAATTTCCTTTTTTATGAAAAAATTCTAGCTTGTAAATGAAAGAGACCACGATAGAATTAGAAAATCATCATTTTATAACTTCTAATCAAATAACGGATCTAGGCAACATTTACTAACTGTATCTAAAAGCCATAGATGAAAAGATGATGAAAACTTTATTAATGAATAAGTCAGGCCAAGAATATCTGAACCTACTGATTAATCTTACTACCACCAAAAGTGAGACAACCTGCTACTGCTACTATGTGCCTCCCAGCCGGGTGCAATAGTACCCTGTATCATCCAGTATCCCGGCTAAGTGTTTTTGTGCTGAATGTAACCGAGCCTCTATATATACCTCACAGTTTGCAGGATGTAAGGAAATAAAAAAACATATCAAATGATCCAAAAAGAGAGCTATTAGCCAAATCAATTATGACAGACACTCTGCAAGGGACCTCTCCTTTTTTTTTTTTTTTTTTTTTTGGTTGTTTTTAATTTTTTTTTATTTTCCAGACCATATAAAATATGGAACATAAATTTTTTTTTTTTTTTTTTAACTGTTGTTGTTTTTAAGTAATAGCAAATGTAAACTGGGAGAGGAGATCATTATAAAATAAGAGACATGAGAGCCTTAACAATTAAATGCCATTATGTAGATCCTATTTTAATCTTCATTTAAATCAAGCAAATATAACGGACACAACTTTGAAGCAATTGGGAAATTTGTCATAATGTTTGGATATTAGATGCTGTTAAGGGATTATTGTTTATTTACTAGATGTGCTACTAGCATGTTAGTTATATTTTTAAAAATCCTAACGAATTAGACAGCCATGCTGAATGTTTTATAGAAGAAATGACATAATGTCTGAAATTTACTTTAAAATGCTACAAAAAACAACCATTGAATGTGGAAACTCAAATAGCCTAATACTCATAATTCTTGAAGTAGGTTAACATGTACATGGTTATCTTAAACTGTTCTACATTTTTTGTATGCTTAAACATTTCCGTAAGGTGATAAATTTTAAAACTCAATACATAAAACACAGAATCCAGAAGAAACAATTTCAAAGAATCTCACAGAGCAGCAGAAAGCTTTGAGGCCAGCAAACAGAAAGATGGTTTTCCTTTAGGTAATCACTACCCAGAACTGGGATACTGATGGCAACTGGGAGTGTTATTTTTTTAACACATGGACATTAAACAACTGCTGACCTAAGGCTTTCAATTACCAAAAGGGACTCTTTTTCAGAAAACTCCAGAAATTGTCAAGTATGATACAAAATAAATAGTACAAACATTCTGTAGCACACAGAAGAGAATGAGCAGAATCTGGACTTGTGAAAAATAAAAAAAATCCCACTGAATAACAACATCAAAGTCTCCTGGGCAAAGGGGTTAAAGATTTACAACATTTCTTTAGGGGAAAAAAAATAACTGATTCAATTTACAGAGCATCTGCTATGTGCCAAACATTTAACGGGCACTTTAAAAGCATAATAAAAAAAATACTTGTTAAGTATGTAACAAATTATCTATAATGCAAAATCACTGATTTTAGGGCTTAAATTTTTTAACCAATTAGCAGATTAATTTCAAAGAGTTCTAAGTTAAAAGTATTAGGGCCAGGCCTGATATCTCACTCCTGTCATTCCAACAATTTGGGAGGCCAAGGCATGAGGATTGCTTGAGGCAAGAAGTTTGAAATCAACCTGGGCAACACAGCCAGACCCTGTCTCTACCAATTAGCTGGGTACAGTGTTGCACACCTGTAATCCCAGCTACTCAGGGGGCTGAAGTGGAAGGATCCCTTGAGCTCAGGAGTTCAAGTCTCCAGTGAGCTATAATCATACCATAGCACTCCAGCCTGGGTGACAGAATGAGATCCTAACTCTCTATTTTTAAAAAATATTTCTGGATTTTGCTATAACCAAGTAGCTGAACCAGCACCTACAGTCATTGCAGGAAGAGCCATGAGAGAAGCCACACCTTCCAGAGGACATGCCTCAGTAAAATGTACCTCTTTCTGAGTATGCTTAATGTCGAACAGATGTGCCCTTTGGAGAGGAGTGTGGAGGGGACAGGGTGAGGTGAAGGGGGAAGGAAGGAAGAAGGGAGAAGGAGGAAGGGAAGGGAAGGGGAGGGGAGGGAAGGGGAGGGAAGACAGAAAGAAAGAGAGAGAGAGAAAGAAAGAAGAAAGCAAGAAAAGAAAGAAAAAAAAAAGGAGGGAGAAAGGAAAAGAGGGAGACAAGAAGGAAAGGAATTAAAGGTAAAAATTTAATAGGGCATTTATGGAGAATTTAGAAAGCCACAACCTTCCCGTTAGAACAGCATTATACACCCAGAGCCACCCTTAATAAAGAAATCTTGAGAGCACGTATGGCAGGCAAGCTCTACCTCCTGGACGGGGAAAGAGACTACGGGTGTCTGCTTATTATGCCATAAAATTACTGGCAAATTCCCAAATTTCTAGTCCACTAGATGATTTTGAGTCACACTCCTTCCCTGAAGCTTTAAGGAAAAGGTAAAAGTAAAGTTAAAAATTAAGCTTTTAGCTCCGACATAGTGATGTCAAAAGAATTGGTGAATGATGTATGGGGGCTAAACTTGGTAATACTGGCAAGTCGACACTGTGTAAAATTGAGAGAAAAGTCTTGACAACAGAAGAAGTCACTTTTTTGTGCTGAATCAGGTTAGTCTCACTTTTAAAAGAGACTTATTAAATAAGCATTCAGTTAACTCCCCAGAGGGCCATTAAGGGGGCCTTCCCTGGCAAAGATATGATTGAAAGTACTTAGCAATAGCGGAAAATTTGGGGAAGGGTGGAATATGCCTTGTCTTCTAAGGCTTTTCACAAGAGAAAGAAAAAAGAACATATTTTTAGCAATCAGTGTGAGGGTCACAGGGACACAATGAAAGAGTCGTATGTTTTGTACAATGTGTGATGCTTGTATAGCTGTGGTGTGCTCTGTCTGTAATGTGTGTGGCACACTGTGTGTGCCTGGTGGGTATGTGCCCATCGTTTGTGTGTGTGTGTGGTTATGTGTGTGGTGCTTGTAGCTTGTCCTTCCGTTTTGAGGATGTAGTATTATAACATGTTTATATGTTTGGTTTGCATGTATGGGTGCAGTATATGTGTGGAGAACATAAGGGGAGTTTATACCATGTGTTTATGTTGTATGTATGTATGTGGTGCATATGTATGGGTGGTTTGTGTGTGTGGTGTTTATGTATATGTGTTATGAAATAAAGAGTGGCCCCAGAAGAGGTTCCAATGTGTGATAATGATGGTTGACAAATTGCTCATTCAAAAATATTTTGCAAACCCAATCTCAGGACTTACGTATCTTTGGAGCACTAGGTATCATATAATCTGATATGATAAAATCCTGAGGTCTAGACTGACCAGCACAGATTGGTGCTGAATTCTGACTATAAAGGTTTGCCTGATAGGAGACTGCTCCATTCTGATTTATCCGCTGAGCTTCCTGCCATAAGTGACTGCTCTATCCATGGAAACTGAAGATATGGACAGGGACATGTGGAAGTATAAAGAACAATTAGCATCTGCTTGAGTTGGTGGTATTAATAAGCAGATAGTATCTTTTAGCTCTATTGAGATACAGGAGGAAAAAAGAATTTATTTCACCTTTGCTTGCTCCTTCTCTGACATTCTTCCTTTCTTTTTGTACTGCCAAGTTTCTGACCTATAACAATCTCCTCCTGCCTGAAGGGCTTCTTTTAATGTTCCTTATAGAGGAGGTCTACTGGCAATGGATTCTTTTCATTTCTCACTCTGGAGAAATATTATCATTGGATTTAGAATTCTGGATTGGCAGGGTTATTTGTTTGTTTTCTGTAGTTTTCAGGTCTTCCATATATTTTTAATCAACCAAAATGATCACAAAAGTGAAATAAACATCAAGGGGAGCACATAATGTAGGTGAATGAGCACTGCTGTGATGGAACAAGTTTCTCTCTGAAGCAGTTTTAAACCAGAGAGGAGTACTGGGTAGCGTCTACATCATGCTGACATTACTGTGTTTTGCACTCAATAGTAAATGGAGGCCAAACCCCTCAGCAAGAAGAGAAGCAACTTCAGCCCTGTATGCAAATGGATAACCAGTTGCCTCCCAAAAAAGGTAGCACTTTATTCTGTTCCACTGTATAGGCTTTCTCTTTCTTAAATATTACATCACAGATTATACATGGAAGAATATTTCTGTGAAATACATATGAGGTCTCAAAAATATTCAGAAAAGAAGGGAGAAGAAACCAGTCCTACTATGGTTTTCAATCAGAAAATCCCAAGTAAAAAGTTTCTACATACTATGGTTGCTCACACTTTATTTTCATTTTTGGATACTTGTCAGTTTATCATTTGGTAGAAAATATCAGAAAATAACTGGGCTATTTTGGTTCCATCTCCAAGAGAAGAAGAGATAGATCTGTAAGAGGAAGTAAGACAGGATGAATATTCTTGAGTCCCTGCATTCTTGGACATCAACAGATAAATGTGTACTGAATATTTTTTGAGATAAACTGTTTATTTTAGGTAGGGTAGGGTATCAACAATAAAGAATTACTGCTATTGGCTTAGCGTTGTGTCCATGTCATAGGGGACAAAATCCCAAAAAACGAGATAAGCAATAGATTGTATACTTTTTGAACTTATGTAAAAGTTACTGTATATTAAATTATATATTTCTTCTTATATCAATTTTGATATTTATTTTGCTTAAGTTGTCCATTTCATCTGCATTCAAAGTTTATATATATATATATGTATTTTTTTTTCTATATTTCTGCCCTTATGCATTTAATTCCTTTTAGATCCTTTGGGTTTGTTCCTTTGTTCAGTTTCCAAGTTTTTAAATTCTTTCTCCTCTTTTTGATAAATATATTTACAGATGCACATTTTACCATGTCCCTGAGTTTGATATGCAGTATTCTTACTGTTACTCACTCCCAAACTCTTTAGAATTCCCCTTATGGTCTTCTTTTTGACTCAAAACTTATTTAGACATAATTTATGTACTTCCTGGAGAAATGTGAAGGAGAGAAATGAGTAAAACTCAAAAGGGCACCCCTAAATGACTAAGACAATGAGCCCCTCTCTGACATGGTGACAATGACTTCACTGTTACCACATAGAGGCTTTCTTCTCTCCTGCAGGGGTGTTTTTGTACAAGGTTTCTGATAGCTTTCTAGATCCATTCACCTCCCTAAGATTATGAGTTTAGGCTGCAAATCAAAGAAAGCACTGGCTGATGATTAAATTTCTCAGGGGTATTCTTTTGCCCCCTTCTATCCAGCTCTTAAGATCATATGGCACAAAATTTCTTGGCAGTCCACTAACAATGTTCGGGAGCAATGTGTTCATCCTTCATTGATCTTGTGAGTCTTTAGCATCTAAGCATTTTAGAAGAGGGTCTCCTACTACATACTATTCCATTCTAGGGCCTGGGTATTTCATTCCTGTGGTCTCCATATTGTGGAAGGCAAAAAAATCCCAAGATCAAAACTGCACAGTGAAAAATCTGACTTTAATGCTCAACTTATGTTTTGAGGCTCCCACCTTCACTAAGCCCTTGGCCTGAATATTTCATCTTTCCTTTTATTTTTTTATTTATTTTTTTGAGACGGAGTTTCGCTCTTGTTACCCAGGCTGGACTGCAATGGCGGGATCTCGGCTCACTGCAACCTCCGCCTCCTGGGTTCAGGCAATTCTCCTGCCTCAGCCTCCTGAGTAGCTGGGATTACAGGCACGCGCCACCATGCCCAGCTAATGTTTTGTATTTTTAGTAGAGACGGGTTTCACCATGTTGACCAGGATGGTCTCGATCTCTTGACCTCGTGATCCACCCGCCTCGGCCTCCCAAAGTGCTGGGATTACAGGCTTGAGCCACTACGCCCGGCCCTCATCTTTCCTCTTAGATCACCCATGCTTTTAATGAAATGGTTTATTTTAAATATATTTTATCTAATATTCTTATCTTTTAATAATGGAGGCTCAGGCTAGTCAAGAAAACTAGCCAACTATTTATTGGGTACTAATGCTTTTTTTCATTTAACAGTTTATCTAAAGAGTATTCCACAATTTTAGGCAGAGATTTTTCCTCATTTTTAGAGCTGAAGTATGGATGGATATATTATAATTTATTTAAATGGTCACTAATTTATAGACATCTAATTTGTTTACAATATTTTACTAATTCAAACAATCCTATATGAATGCTGTAAAATGATATGAAATTCAATTCAATAGAATGATATAAAATACTTATACATCTAATAAAATAGTTTCCAATATATAAAGCAAAAAAGCCCTATGAAAATTATGAAGATACAAAATCCTAAATAAAATATTAACAGAACAAATCTAAGAATTTATAAAAACATTAAAAAAGCAACCAAGTCAGGTTTATCCTCAAAATGAAAGAGTAATTTAATGTTAGAAAATGTATACATGTCACTCCACAAAAGTTAAAAGAGAAAAACTGTATGATTATCTCATTAGATATAAAAAATTTATTTATGAAGTTAATATTTATTTGCAATAAAAAATTATTAGTTAACTATGAATGTGCAGTAGACAGAATTCCAAGATGACTCCCAAGCTTCCTGGCTCCTGTTTTATTCTTGGGTGGAACCATGAGCACAGAAATTACAGCCCAGAGCCCAGAGGGTAGAGCCAAGGGCCACAAGAATTATCTCCAGACCTCATGAAAAATCCAACACTGGCCTTGAACTTCAGAACCTTCATGGATCAATGACTCCTTTTCTCCTCTGTTATTCCCCACCCCACCCCCTTGTCTATAGCTTTATCCTACACCTGTTCCACCATTACATGCTAAGAGTGTTAGGGGCATTTAACTTGCCTCTTTAGTTTCACAAGCCCACAGAAAGAAATTGTGCCCTAGGATGGATTAATCATAGGTGTCTCTTTCACAACTGGATTTAGATGATGAGGTTTTGAACTTGAGCTGATAATGTAATAACATGAAGAATTTGGGAAGCTTGAAATGGGGTGAATATGTTTTGCATGTAAGAGGAACAAGGCTCTTTAAAGGCCAGATGGTGTCCTGTAGTAGGAAGAATTCTAAGTTTACTCCCAACACTCCCAGCCCCTGGTGTATACACACTTTCTCCCAGTAATGTTCCCAAATCAGTTGATCTTAAATAGGGAAATTATGCACGCAGGACAGATCTAATCACATGAGCACTTTAAATCTGGTTGTACATGTCAGAGACAGAGTAGGTAGATTCAAAGTGTGAGAGGGATTCAACATAAAGTAGATTCCCATTGCTGATTTTGAAGATGGAGGGGCCACATAGATTAACTTTGCCTGTTTTTGAACTTCGTAAAACTAGATTCCTATAGTATATACTGTCTGGTCTCTAGTTTCGTTAACTGAGCATGTTTTTGTTGAAATGCATCCAGATTTATGCAGATTGTTGTGTATAAGCAGTTTCTTTCTTTTATTTCTGAGTAATATGCATTGTATTAACATACCATGGTATGTCCACTCTTTTCAAACATTCTTCTATTTTGAATAAAGCTGCTATAAACATTTCTGTACATATTGTTTTGTAGACATATACCTATATTTCTCTTGGAAAAAAATGTCATTTGTTGAAAAATACTTTACTTTTCTCCAATGAATTGCATTAGTACATTTTTAAAAAGTTAACCACATATGTGTATTTGTTTCTGGACTTCCTACTTTCTTCCATCAGTGAACTTGTAATCAGCTGTACACCAGCTGATCAGCTTATATCAGTAAGTAATTACATTTTTTTAAAGTGCCATTTTTCTCCACATTGAGCATATATGAGTCTTTCAACCAGAGTATTCTTTAAACAGTGGAAAAGGAATAGTTTTCTTGACAGAAAATGTCTTCATTGTTATTAAGGGGACTTACTTTCAAGAGTAACACAGAGTATTTTTAAAGCGTTTTTTAAAAAGTAGACATGAGCCTGTCCTTTGCAGGGACATGGATAAAGCTGGAAAGCAACATTCTCAGCAAACTGACACAAGAACAGAAAATCAGACACTGCATGTTCTCACTCATAAGTGGGTGTTGAACAATCAGAACACATGGACACAAGGAGGGAAACATCACAAACCAGGGCCTGTCAGGGGGTCGGGGACTAGGAGAGGGATAGCAGGGGGTAAGGGGTTTGGGAAGAGATAGCAGTAGGAGAAATATCTAATGTAGATGACAGGGTGATGAATACAGCAAACCACCATGGCATGTGTATACCTATGGAAGAAACCCGCATGTTCTACACATGTACTCCAGAACTTAAAGTATAATAAATAAATTTTTTAAAAAATAGACATGAACCAAAGAACTTGGAAGACTGGCTTAATTTTCTTGGAATTTCTAGTTGGCATTATAATTTTAAGGAGAATATGATATCACTATATCAGTCACACATCTTCCTATTATGTAGTAATTCACAAAGGCCATTAAGTACAATAAAATTTTAAATTAATATCATGGGCTCCAAATTTCTGAATAGCCCTTCTATAGTTAAAGTACGTTTTTATCTCAGCTGTGTCAACAATTGAGACTTTCTGTTCTACTTTGTAGCTCCAGGTTTCTGTTCCTTTCGCTATGGATTGTCTTTCCTTTTGCACTGTTGTAATGTCACAAGAATGGCACAATGTACATGCCTGAACCTCACAATGGTAGTCATGGTGAACAGTACAGATCCACATGGTTTGCCCAACACCTCCACAAAGAAGCTCCTGGATAATATAAAGGTATATCTATAATTTTCCCCACAGTCAAATGTTTACAAGCCTGTCTTTTTAACTAATTTGTGTAGAGATTGAATTGTATGGATATAACAATATAATTGAAAAAGAAGCTCAAGTCTTCATCTACTTTGCCAGTAGTGGCCTAAATAAAATATTCCATGATTAAAGGATGGTTCAACACTTCCGAAGAGCTTGTTGTGTAAATCCTTCTATGTGAGGGAGAATAAAACCCAAGAGTTAGGGCTTCTTTACAATCAAGAAATTTGGACAAGAAGAAAAAAATGGAAAGCATTTTAAACCAGAAGTGGAAGATGAAGACACATTACATTTTTTATTTAAGTTTTGGACATGCAGGACATTTAAATGTTTCATTAATTTCATCTTGGGAAGACAATCAGTTGTTATCTGCCAGAAGATGCAGATGCAAGAAAAATAAAAGCAAGATAGGTAATGTCAGTCAAGAGATGGAAACAACAAAAAGAATAAAAAATCAATACTAGACATCAAAGAAACTATAACAAAGAATGCCTTTGACAGACTCATCAGTAGACTTCACATCACTGAGGAAATAATTAGTGAACATGAAGATAGGTCAAAAGAAATTTCCCAAGCTGAAATGCAAAGAGAAAAGGAATGAAAAAAAAAAAATTAACAGATCATTCCCAAATTGTAGACAGTATCAAACAGTGTAACGTGTGCATGGCTGGAATGCCAGAGAGAACAGGAAACAAGAAATTTTTTTTAAATGGCTGAGAACTTTTCATAATTAATGACAGACAACAAACCACAGATCCAAGAAGCTCAGAGAACACCAAGTAAGATAAAAAGCAAAAAGATAAACAATCAAAAAAAAGCCACCTAGGCATATCATATTTAAATTGCAGAAAACCAAGACAAAAAGAACATTTCAGTAAAACCAGAGGAAGAAAATACCTACAGAGGAACAAGTAGAATTACAGCTGACTTCTTATCAGAAACCATAAAAACAAGGAGAGAAAAGTGAACTCTTTAATGTGTTGAAAGAAAGAAAACCCCTGCCAATCTAGAATTCTATATTCAATAAAATTATTGACAAAATTGAAAGACTATAAAATTTCAAGCTATAGTTATAGCTTGAGAAAGCCTTTATTGTCTTTTAATTTCTAAATGTCCATCAGTAGGTGACATATATATGTGGAGGGAATTTATTGCCAGCAAGCTTACCACAAAAGGAATGTTAAAAGATGGTAGATTTTAATCTGACTACACTGATAATCACTTTAAATGTGAATGTTCTAAACACACCAGCTAAAAGACAGAAATTGTTAGAATTGATAATAAATAAATATCCTCAAATACGCTATCTACAAGAAATCCTGTTAAAATACAAAGACTCAGATAGGTTAGAAGTAAAGAGATGAAAAACTATGCAACCATGAAAACATGAATCAAAAGAAACTGAAGTAGCTATATTAATTTTAGAAAAAGTAGAATTTATAGCAATGAAAATAACCAAAGATAAAGAGGGCATTACTCCAAAAACAAATGATTCTAAATACGTGTATCCGTAACAACAGAGCAGCACAATGTAGGAGGCAAACACTGTGAGAACTCAAAGGTGGAACAGACAAATACACACTTGGTAACTATTTTCTATTTGTTAAATCTATTCTTTGTTAAACTTTTTTTTTCATTCACATTTTCCCTTCTCTGGGTTTAACTGAGCATTTTATATGACTGAATTTTATCTCCTCTCTTGATATATTATTTACACTTAAAAAACTGTTTTAATAGTTTCCATAGGTTTTTAAATATACATTTTTAATAATATAAGTCTACCTCCAGATAACACTATACTATTTCATGTATCATGAAGGCTTCATGTAACAGAATATTTCTGATTCCACTCTCCCATCTCTTGTGACTACTGTTATTCATTTTATGTATCTATATGTTATAAACCCTCAAAACATTCCTTCAACAAAAAGTTATCTTTTAGATTAATTCAAAACAAAATATTTACCACTTTCATTTATTCTTTTCTAATGGTCTTACTTCTTAATTGTAAACTTACATTTTTTAGCTATATCACTTTTCTTCTGCCTGAAGAACTTTTTTTGACTCTTTTTTGTGGGCTTTTGTTATTGCATATAAGAAATCTTTGCATAACCCAACATCAAAAGAATTCTTCTATGTTTTAGAAGTTTTATAATTTTTCATTTTACCGTTTAATCTATGATTCATTTTAAATTACTTTTTGTATATTTGCATTAAAAATCTTTTTTTACATATGGATATACAATTTTTTTCCAGCATAATTTGTTGAGAAAACTATTCTTTCTCTACTGAATTGCCTCAATGTTCGTTGAAAATTAGTAGTTGGAAAACTAATACTACCTACTGCTAATTCTGAGACAGTTATAGTAATCAAGACAGTGTAGAATTAGTGTAAAGACAGAAAATAGATCAATGAAATACAATAGAGAGACTAACACAAATATGAACAACTGATTTTTCAATATATAAAAAATAACAAACATAAAACTGGACTTCATCAGATTTTAAGATACTGCTAATTTAATAAAAAAACAAGCCAGCAGCAGGGGTACATATTTGCAAATCATATCTTATAACAAACTTCTATCAAAACTCAATTTAAAAACACAACCCAATACAAAAAATAGAAAGAAGATATGAACAGATATTTCACCAAAGGAGATACACAGAGGGAAAATATTCACATGAAAAGATGCTTTATATCATTTGCCATTGGAGACAAACATTAACTACAAAGATAAACTACTACACACTGATTCAAAAGGCTAAAATTATAATGATTGCACATACAAAGTGTTGGCAGGAATGTAGTGGAAAGAGAATTCTCCTACAGTGCTAGTGAGAATGCAATGTGGTACAACCACTTTGGAATACACTTATTCATTTCATAAAAAATTAAGCATACACCTATTATATGATACAGTCATTCCACTGCTAGTTATTTACTGAAGAGAAATAAAAGCATATGTCCATTCAGGGACTTGTACATAAATGTTCTATGAACATTGTTGTCTAGCTTTATTTCTGATAGCTAAACAACTGGAAATAACCTAAATGTCCTTCAGCAGGTGAATGAATGAACAAGCTATGGCACATCCATAAAATGGAGTACTCCTTAGCAGTATAACAGAATGAACTACTGACATAAAGAACAATATAAATAAAACTTAAGATAATTATGTCAAGTGAAATAAGCTAGACAGTCAAAAAGAGTTCATACATAGGACTCCCTCAATATAAAACTTCTAGAAAATGTAAACTAAGTTAAGAAACAGGCAGGAGATCCGTGGTGGGGGAGAGCAGGAGGGAAGAATTACAAAAAAAGTAAGGGGGAGCTTTTGGAGATAAAATATATGTTCACGGTCTTAATTGTGGTTACACTTCACAAGTATATATATACGGATAAAGTTTATTGTACTGATTATCAAAAATCTGTTAAAATCTATTTTATGTATGTGTTTTGAACTACATTCTTAAATATTTGTGGTATTCCAGTGCTTTGGTTTAAATACTCAGAACCTCATATTCTAAAGAAATGGTTTCTCATAGGAGTTGTATTTTAGAGCCTTCACTATAGCTCTAAAAGAGGAGGAAGATCATGAGCTATGGAATTTGGAAGATTTCTCTAGGACATGCATCAACCTGCCACTCCACAAAACCTTTTGTCATCCCATGAAACTTCCTGTCACAATTCAGTTTCCTGCTATATATAAGGTACTACATTTAAAAATGAAGAAATAGAATGCATACTTATTCTAAATAGAAAGACACACCAGAAAATTATTCCTCAAAGCAGATCCAAATTGTAGTCTAATATTACAAAATAACCTAAAAATTAGTAAAGCAATTACAGCTATGAAAGGAGCACCACAGTGCAGTACCTGCAAGAACTCAAGGTAGACATGGCCAGACCACAGAAGGCTATGCTCACACAACAGATGTATGAAAAAAAGGAAATTGACAGGAAAGTATTATGAAAGTCAGAAAGAATATTTTAGAAAAAAACACGAAATAACAAGAAAAACAAGGAAGAATAGACACACACAGATATTTAAACCCAGTAAGAAATACTGAGTATAGAAAAGAAGATAAGAAAGAAGATAAATGAGGAATATTCTGTAGTCAATCTTCCCTCTTCCATCAAAGTCAAGGAGAATGTGTCATTATTCTTTTTAAAGTTTACCAACCTGACAGAAATTCTGCCATAACTTTAAAGTAGATATTCTTTCATACTAATGGGATTACACATTTGTATATTTCTGTGATCTATGTTTATTGATCATTTCCATTTTGTCCTCTTATAAATTATCTATTGATACCCTTGATATATTTTCCTCATTGAAGCATTACATATTTCTTATTCATTTATATGACCCATACAAATGTGTATATATATTTCTTTTTAAGATTTATATAGAGTCATTTATACATTTATATGTGGAATACTTTCTTCAATGGCAACCAGTTAATGCATTGAATAGAAAAATATAAACTGAGGTTTTACGCTCTGAGCTCAAGGTTTTTAAACCAATTCTGGTGAACTTTTTTTACTTTCTACATTCTGCTACGGAGAGTGATAGCTTTAAGCCATAAGAAAAACTATCCACAATTTTAAGTGATCTGTTCACATGCACAGGGAGAGTGGAACAAATGCCTCCTGGCCCACCTGATATGGGTAAGGGTGGGTACTGTCTTCCTAAGTGCTGCCTGTGATTAAAAAGAAGAAAAACAAACAAAATCTCCTTCATCTTCTGGGTAGCCCCCTTCCCCTCAATGGAAAAGATCTGGAAATTCCCTGGCACCCTAGCTACAACATGGATATGTCTTACTGGTTATTATTTTGTACCCTTGGAGAGTCACTCCTCCAAGATTTCTCCTTGGAAGTCATTTTCCAGCCAAGAGAAATATTACACTCTAGAGGCCACAGCTACAGGGTGACAGGGACTTGAAAAGGAAAGAAAAAAAGAGGAATGGTGGGATAAAATAATACTGATGACAACAAACATATGGATTCCTACCTATTATATTTAATATTCAAACAAAAATAACACCAGCACATTCACTGTTTATTCAGGAAACCCTTCATTACTTAATACGTTCCTCCTAATTATGAAACTGACAGAGAAACTTCAGAGAATGCAACTATCTTAGACACTTTCAAATAAACTTTATCCTATCCTCCCCTACTACCATTAAAATTTCTTTCTGTTCGGTGGGTCCAAAAACATGTGCAACCTGCTCCCTCATAATCTCAACAATAAATTCAATATTAGAATTTTCTTTTATCGTTCCTTTAATAATGTAAAAAACAACTATAGATGGCCCTCTAACCTAGGAATGGACAAACAAATATACTCCTGGAAAAAATACGTCACATCAGAGCCAAGTGCAAGAATAGAAATGACCTTTTCCTTTTAACTGTCCTGTGTAGTTATTTGTACAGCTCAGGCTGAGATCTCTTCATGATTTTATCTTCTCTCTATCATAACTTTTCTCTCTGGGAGCACTATGTATATGGAGAAAAGTGGTTTTGTGAATGAGCTTAAATTAATGGATGCCTTAGAGAAAGAGAACAGGCAAGAGGAAATTCACAACTGTAGTGTAAGCAGTGCTATGAAGTACAGGAAATTAACTATTTTAATGTATGTATGCTATGCAGGAGGAGTTTACATGTAGTTTAGCAACATTCAAGAAACAAACATTAAATGTCTATGCTGTGGAAGGTACTGAAGGGAGGTACAGATAGTGTCCTTGGCTGTGAGGACTTTACTCCAACAGTAAAATGTAAATAAGTAGAGAAAATGGTGTGATAAAAGAATAAAGAAGGTCCTGGGTTAAAGAATACTAGGTAAGAGGGGAGCTACCTTACATGAGGTGAGCCAGAAGAACAGTTTCCCTAAATCCCTAAATACCACAGTAAATGTATGATATGCAGAGTGACTCAAGGTATCCCTGCTTGTCTTTTAGAACCCTGTGTATAATTGGGGCCCAGATATCCAGGGAATCATCTTGAGTTCCACCTTCTATGGTTTCGTCATCATCCAAGTTCCTATTGGATACTTCTCTAGAATATATTTTGTAAAGAAAATAATTGGCTTTGCATTATGCCTTAGCTCTGTGTTAAGCCTGCTCATCCCACCAGCAGCTGGAATTGGAGAAGTTTGGCTCATTGCATGTCGAACAGTTCAGGCAGTAGCCCAGGTATTAAAATAATGCTAAAACTGAACGGAGTTTAAATTCATAGGAAGTGTTAGAGATTAAATGTCAAAACTTTCTTTTTTCAGGGGATAGTTGGAACAGCCCAATCTGAAATATATGTCAAATGGGCTCCTCCCCTGGAATGAGGTCGACTTACTTCTATGAGTGCATCAGGTAAAGACTTAGAGCCTAGAATGTTTGAATCCCATTTTTGTCTCATTGTATTATGTTCTTTCCTTGAGCCGTAAGAAACGTGTGTTTTGAACTGTCAAGGGCTTTGGAAATCATCTATTTCAGCATTTTGGCTTTGAAGATGAGAAAATTGTATAGAATGGAGAAGAGGCATTCTTATTTCAAACAATAGAGAAAAAGAGAGAAAAGCAAATATTTTGTTATTTTCTTCTGATCAGTGTTATGCTACACAAATTTATTTCACAGGAAATTGGTCTTTGCTACAGTGAGGTTACATTATCTATACTTTCAGATGCCTGCATTAATTAGAAGTGTTCTTTGTACTTTCTGATTAGGGTTTTTATTGGGACCCTTTATTGTCCTGGTTGTGACTGGAGTTATTTGTGAATCTCTGGGCTGGCCCATGGTCTTATATATTTTTGGTGAGTCTCTTTCTGTAAAATTCTGGTTATTACACAGAATCTAAGAAAAATTTAAATATTAAAACCCAATATCAAATAAAATTCATATAAAATTGTATAAAAATCATATAAAACTAACATTAAAAATCACGAACCCCGCTGAGTAAAAAAAAAAAAAAAAAAAAAATATTCATTAAGTTTCTGTCACAAGCAAGGCATTATGATGCTTATAACTATACATGTATTTTTGTACATAACTTTTATAATTCTATAATGTAGGTGCTATAGATGAATATGCTTTGATGTGAAACTCTCCCAGAAAAAGACGATCAAAACAAATAACTTTACAGATTTCAGAAAGATATTACCTTTTATACTTAACATTCAAAGCATGATGTGGAGCACAACTCCATAATCAAAGACATTAATTTCCACAGCAAAAAATGAAATTTGTGCAAACTAGAACATACAAAATAAACTGTACAGAAATAAGATTTACAAATAAGTGATAAAATCATTTTTGGCTCTTCGATGCAAAAGTTTTCAGGTTCGTGAATAAGAAAATATGGATAGGTTCTATTATGGCCATTTGACATGAGAGGAAACTTCAAAAGGCTTAGGTAACTCGCCCAAAGATATACTTAAGGCAAAATCAGAATAATTTATTTACAAAGTGATCACTTAAAAAGGTAGGTATGAGATAAGGTAGAATCCCAGGGATAGTGGAGTTACCTGGGCTAGCAATACAGGAGCCAGCAGCATCTAGCATCCCCAGATTCAAAGGGATCAAGCAAGGGAGTAGTTACCAGAATCCATTAGGGGAGAGTCCTACAGAGCAGGATGCCTTAAAAGAACTCATGATTTTTTATAAAAGGACATATAGATTGAGGCAATCGTAGGATGGAGATAACTAGGGTTTGAAAAGGCACCTGGATTACACTCAATTCTCTCCCTCTCATCTCTATCTGGAATTTCTGTTGGCCAAATCCAGGTGGAAGCAGAGGACATGGGGGCCTACTGACGTTGATTCAAGTCAGTCATCTGTAGCCAAGGCAAAGTGAAGAAGGATGAGGAGTACACTAGGGGGACAAACAGAAGACATCCAATACACACAGTGAGCAGACGACAGAGCCATAATCTGAAAACACATCTTCCATACTCAAAATTCCATTGCTGTTAATGACTGTGTTAGTCTTCAGTAGCAAACAATGGTCAGTATAGTGATGAAACATAGCCCCTTATCAGGAAAGGAGCTGAAAAAACTGAGAATGTCTAGCCTGAAGAAGAGAAAACTTGAGAGATGATACCTTGTAGGATTGTCACACAAATAAAATGCAGACCTGTTTTGAATTATAAAACTAACCCAAATATGTAGAAATTGCGGGGGTGGGGGTGTGAGGTTTCAGCTCCATGTTTCAGCTCAGTTTCAATAAATAATGCTGCCCAGGATTGCTGATCAACGGTTAGATGGTATCTAATATTTATGTTGTATTCCTATAAGATCATGTAAAGTAATATATGCCACTTACAGTTATCATGGGTGGCTCCATGATATAACTAGAAATTACATGATAGCCACATATGTCAAATGACCTTCCCAAGTTAGTGGCAAAGGAAAAACTAAAACCAAGATTGTTTAAAATTCCATTTGAATATTCTTGCCAAAAAAGTTAAACAAATCTGAATAAATACTGTTTTAAAGAATAAGACAATGACTATATTTAAGCAGCTGAAAATTGCTAGAAATTACGAAATAGAGCAAATTGAGTCACAGACTTACATTTGCACTCCAAATGGCCTGCCATCGTGCTATATTTGTCTCCTAAAGACTATTTCAAACTACTTAACTCTTCTCAAATCTATAAAAGGATGCCCTTTCCCCTGTCCTCCATCTCAAGTAAACTCCCTTTGACCATTGAAATTATTTTGCATAATCTGTCTGTACCCATTGCCTACATTTCCCAGCCTCTCACACTCTCCTTAACTCACATCTGACCAGTGTTTGTGCCATCAAACACAGCTGTTGCCAAGATCATTTATGGCTTCTGTCAGAGCTGACCTGAGGCCCAGGCAAAAGGGCCCTTGTCCTGGATTCCACACTGTAGAGAGCCCATTCTAGCTAGGTTCTCTTCATAGGCCAGGTGCCAAGACAGTAGCCTCAGTAGAGCCCATGACTCTCCTTCTAATAATCATAACTGGAATGTCTTGATTAAATAGAACCAAGGTTATTGGTTATACTGGAAAAGACCAGCAGAGCTCTTCCCAATATTCATTGAATTGGGTAGTGACCAAGGGAGGAAGGAGGCACTACTTGCAGAAGATATGAGTGATGCACAATGGGGAAAGCAAGGATTTCCACACATATCCATTCAAAGTACCTAGTGATGTGGGGATGGATCTGGGTAGGAACAGGTCAAGCTTCAAACTAGTCGCCAGAGATTTGTCTTCAGAATTCTAAATTTAAACTTGACTCTTCAGGCCATTGTTTTTCCCTTTGGCATCTTTCAAAATTGTCCTTGATTTACTGAAGTTGAATATTATATTGTAACTGAAAATCATGTTTGTTGCTTACTATTTGTAGAGTGCAATTAACAAGAGTTGGGCCTGGTACAAGGAAAGTGGATTTATTCCAAAATTAGCTTGGGGAAGGGACACGAAGTTACTTGCTTAAATGTGCCACTTCACCTTTGGAGCTGAAGTGGTGAAAAAAAAAAGTGAAAGAATATGGGTCCCCTTGCTACCAGGCAGTTATTGACTGCACAGTTGAGGTGGCACTTTTCATGGGCAGAAGTAGGTTGAAAAAGTGACCAAAAAAGCATGCTTTCAATATGCCCTCCTGGTGGAACAAAGTTCCAAAGCCATTCCTGGAGAGTGGAAGTTCCTAGGCCATACCCTAGAGATGAAAGTTCCCTGGCAATTTGGTGCGCAATTGACTGTCACCTCTGGACCAGAGCTATGTCTTGGAGTACATAGTTAGAAGAATTTTCCCTATAGAGAATGTCTGGTGAGGGGAGGAGGTGAAAGGTTATATTTAAATTTCTGAAGGGCTAATTTGGAAATGAGAAGCAAGAGGAAAAGGGGAAAAGAGAGAAGAAGAGAAAATTTTTAAAACATTCCCTTTTTCTTAAAAAACTGGGGGCATTTGGTTTCACTATGTCAGATTGTAACTTTTTCTGTATTTATTCTTCTTGGCATTCTTTAGGCTTCCAATATCTGTGGTTTGAGGTTTATTACTAACTTTAAGAAATTCTCCATTATTATTGCTTTAAGTGTTTTTCTAATTTTTTCTTGCCCTTCCTTCCTTTCTTCTTGCTTGCTTTTCTTGCTCTCTTTCTCTCTTTTTCTTTCTTTCCCTCTTCCTTTCTTTCTTATTTTTGGCTTTTTTTTTTTGAAACAGAGTCTTGCTCTTGTCACCCAGGCTAGAGTGCAATGGTGTGATCTCAGCTTACCACAACCTTCACCCCCTGAGTTTAAATGATTCTCCTGCCTCAGCCTCCTGAGTAGCTGGGATTACAGGCGTGCGCCACTATGCCCAGATAAATATTTTGTATTTTTAGTTGAGATGGAGTTTCACCATTTTGGCCAGGCTGGTCACAAACTCCTGACCTCAGGTGATCCACCCACCTCAGCCTCCCAAAGTACTGGGATTACAGGCATGAGCCACTGTGCCCAGCCCATTCTGTCTTTTTAGTTCTTTTTCTGTCTTTGCAATCCAGTTTTGGAAATTTCTATTGCCATTTTATCAAGCTCACTGATTTTCTTGGTCATGTCTAGGCTACCAATGAGTCCATCAAAGGCATTCTTTATTTCTACTATACTATTTTTATTTCCAGCATTTTCTTTTGATTCTTTATAAACTTTCCAGACCATTCCTTTTCATCTCAGTTTCTTTGACTCTACCCTCTCTACATTGGACTTCATCTTTATGGCCATTTTTTTTTTCTCAGTCTCTTCTGCCAACTTATCCTCTTCTACCTGCCATTAACTCTTATCTTTCATCAGAGCTCCACCCCAGCCTCCCCATCTAGGGCTGTAATTTCTCTCTGGACAAGATAATTCATGCTTAAGGGTAGACTACCACTCACTAACATTTGTGTCTCACAAATAATTTGATCTTTCCTTGCCTCAGTTTGCTCATTTTGAAAAAGAGACAAACAGTATTATGTGAATTTTGGGGCAGTTGATTGAATAATCTTTTTCTTTTTTATCCACTACAAAGTCAACTCCATAAAGGCAGAGATTTTTGTCCATTTTATTCACTGCTATATCCCCAGTACTTAAAACAGGTGCATGGTATGTAATCAGCACTTAATCAATATTTGTCAAATGAATGCAAGTCTTCTGGAAGACTGACTGGTGAGCACTATATACGTCCTGTCCCAACAGAGAATTCCTCATGGTCAAGTTATTAATATAAAAAACTCAAAGAAACAATTTGTCAAACTCTTATGGAACTCCAATAATCCCTGAAGCCTGGGCTGTATCTCAGGAACATGGCTGAGGCTAAGCTGTCAAAACTGGCTGATAATAGCAAAGACAGGGAATTAACCTAAATGCCCATCAATGATAGACTGGCTACATATATACCATTGAATACTATGCAGCCATAATAAGAATGAGATCGTGTCCTTTGCAGGGACATGGATGGAGCTGAAGGTCATTATCCTCAGCAAACTAACACAATAACAAAACTAAATACCGCATATTCTCATTTATAAGTGGGAGCTAAATGATGTGAACATACGGACACATAGAAGGGAACAATACACACTGGGGCCTATAGGAAGGTGGAGGGTGGAAGGAGGGAGAAGATCAGGAAAAATAACTAATGGGTACTAGGCTTAACACCTGGGTGATGAAATAATCTGTACAGCAAGCCCCCATGACACAAGTTTACCTATATAACAAACCTGCACATGTATCCCTGAACTTAAACGTTAAAAAAAAAATGGGCAATGTCAAGCCCTGTGCAGGCTCAGCTGTACCATACTCTTATGGTGGAACACATGAAGAATTTGAAAGGAAGAGGGCCTGAGGGCAGGGAGGCCCAGCTGTCATGCGTGGAGGGATGCAGAGGATAGGAGATCAGGAAAGGGCATAGGGCTTACCACCATTTCTGTAAAACTCATCTAGTAGGGAGAGGTCCCTGTAGATAAAAGGAGAACTGTGAAAAATATAAGCCTTGTTGCAAAGTTTCATAAAAGATAAAGGAGGTGTAGTTTCTCAGACTAATACATTGAAAAATCCCAACTTGACAAAGATCCACTACAAACAGAAACTTCCAATTCTACTTATTCTTCTTTGATAGGTGCTTGTGACTGTGCTCTATGTCTTCTCTGGCTCTTTCTGTTTTACGATGACCCCAAGGACCACCCATGCATAAGCATCAGTGAAAAGGAATACATCACATCCTCCCTGGTCCAGCAGGTAAAACACAGTTCTCCATATTGGCATCTCCAAGATTCTACTCCAAACTAAACATGTTCCAGTTTGTTCTAATGTGCTAATGATTAATGAATTTCTTTCCAGGTCAGCTCAAGTAGACAATCTCTGCCTATCAAGGCTATGCTTAAATCACTTCCAGTCTGGGCTATTTCCATTGGTAGTTTTACTTTTTTCTGGTCAAATAACATCACGACAGTGTACACTCCAATTTTCATTGACTCCATGCTTCATGTTAATATAAAAGAGGTAAGTATACCATTTGTTCTGTTTTTTTTTTAACTTCATGAAAGATTTTGTGTTCATTTTTCTGTCTCTAATGACCCTAGTCTCAGCTCTTGTCAGCTCCTTACACTATTTGTATACTGCTCTTCACATGGAAACTCACTGTTTCTGCTTTTTATACGAACACTGCCCAGAACAGAAGGCGATGATGTAGACATAAGTGACTAGCACTCCAGCAACAGCACACATGCATCTATGTTTCCACACATTCCCTGTCTCCCATTCACTGTGTGACTCCCTTTGTATATTACTTAAGGCTCAACATCACCCTTCCCTACAGGGACTGGGGGCCTCCCCTGAAAATCACTTAGCCACACCCTGCCACTCTGCCAACCTTTTACCAATCCTCTCTCCAAGATAAGGCAATGAATTTTGGTTATAAAGCCAAGACTCAAGTCTTGCTTTGGAAGAACTGGCATACCCACTGCTTATGTGGCTTGGAGAATCACTGTTACAGGCAACCTCCTATTGTTTGATACCATAATAACCAGACAAGACTCATTTAGAAATGGAGACTATCTGGGCTTGCCACTTTGCGGCATTCTGTATTGAACTTCCAACCAGCCTAGAGGCCAGCATTACAGTAAGGTCTCATAAAGCCTCTCTGACTCAGTATTATACTTCATGAAACCATGAAGTTGTCACAAGGATTAGTAGCAGCTGGTCCAGTGTAAGCACATATGTATGTCCATAATTGTCATCTTTATCCTCTCTATTATTTTCCCCAGGGCCAGTATTTCTCATTCCCAATGTAGTCTTCCTTCTCTATTATCCAGTGCTTTTAGGTTTCATGATACTGAAATTGGAAGATTTGACAGATTATGACAAATGTTACTGACATCAAAACTATTTTTCTCTTTCTTTTGGGTAGTATGGTCCCAGCAGTAATTCTGGTGTTGTATATTGATGGTGTTGTATATTGTTGTATATTGATGTTGTATATTGATGTATATTGATGATGACTTTTTTAGCTACTTATAAGTGTGTTTTTCCACATTAGACTTATAAGTCTATATTATTTTTAATATTACATTTTAAATGTTATAAAACAAAAAACCAAGAGCAATAATTTACAATTACTTTGAATTTTAATCCCTCAGGATCCAGAATCTGCCTGGTTTAAAATCTTCATCTTGAAGGCAGCCATTAATGTGATTGGCCTAATTTTCTACCTTATAGCTGAAGCAGAAATTCAGGACTGGGCTAAAGAAAAACACCACACACATCTCTTAGGTGAGAAATGATCAGATTAAAGTTAATTTTTTGAAACCAGGAATATGGGAGAGAGAGGAGTTAAGGATGACTCCTCAGATGGGGATGATAATGGGTACAGGTTTGGAGGAGAAGAGGAGACCATGTTAAGCCTGAGAATATTAGACATCCTGATGGAAATGGCTATGGGACTCTTGGGGGGATGCTGAGGCTGGAGATATAAATTTGGGATGCTGGGCCTCTTTAACATTAAAAGGTGAGGAACAGAAAGAGAAGTTTGCAAGAAAGACTGGGAAAGGCCTTCAATGAAGTAGGAAGAACAGTTGTAAAATGGAGTCTTGAAGTGAAAAAAGTTGGGAGCAGGGACCTTTGGCAAGTGCTATAATATCAAGGTGTTAAATTATATAAGGTCTAAGAATTTACAAATGGGTTAGGCAAGAGAAACTTTAAAGGTGACCCTGACTAAAATGATTTTCAAATGAATGATGGCGACAGAGTCCATTAAGGTGTATTGAAAGTATGATACTGTGCTTTTCTTATGTAAACTCTATCGGTGGTAAATAAATGGTAGCAGAAACGTCTCTTTGTACAATAATTTTAGCAAATGCATAAATAAGAATTGATAGATGTGGAATACCCCTATTTTGTAACCCTCAATAAATTAAGAGATCTAGGTGTTGAATATCAATGGCCGTTAGTTACCTTCTGAGGAAAGAACATACTACCACTAATGTCTTGCTAATCAAACTGAATCTCATTAAGCCTTGTAAATAGCTACTGTTTTGGAAGAAGTACAGAGAACAGAGAATATGTTGAACTAAATCCAAGTGTATCATTAGCAAATCTAAACTGTAGGAGATTTTATAGGTCAAAAGGCTCGGCTCTTTGTTGTAAGCAGAATTTTCAATGCCACAAAAGATGTAGCACTCCAATATAAATTTCCTCAGCAAGGCAATTTACTTCTATAGAAGGGTGTGGCTTACAGATGGAACAATGGTGACCTCACACCTGGACAAGGAGGGGAAGGGGTACTTATTATGCCTGATGGAGGTTGCCCCTACTGCAGTGTCATTCCCCTGTTGGCTAGGGTTCGACTGCACTGTCTAGTCTAATTACAATTGGCTATTAAAGGGAGCAGGGGTACCAGCCGGAGTGGCGGGGTGCTTAGTTTGGCAGGAAGGACAGTTACAAGCAGGTCAGAGCAGATAAGCAGGGGTCAAAGCAGGTGACCAAAGTAGGTGACGGGGATGAGTCAGGACCAGGGCACGGTACTGGGGGAACAGATGTGAACCACTAATTAGAACTGGTGGAAAAGGTTGTTTACTGAAACTACAAGGAAGTTAAACTTTAAAATAGATAATTAAAGAATAAAAGAGCTGAGCACACTAACATACTGATTCCTTGAAGAGAAACTTGGGGTTCACAATATCTAACAATCTCCCATCTTGAATTTTTAGTTTTGTTTTTTTCTCTTCTAACTTCCTTTACATATCTTGCCTTAGTAGTTCTGCTATCCCTTTGACAGCATCCTGGTGTAATTAATGTACTGCTGCTGATCGTAATAGATGTAATTTATTTTACTTAAATTTTTATTAATTGTCATCTATGAAAATATTGATTTAAATCCTGCAGCTATTTGATCTTGGGTTTTAAATTTATTCGGTAACTCCAATAGTGTTTATGTAAACATGGGGGTTAAAGGACCCATGTGGGGCACTTCTTTTTTTCTATGATTTTTTTTTCTTTCTTTTTTTTATCATGTTGACAGAATGCTAGGGTGAAAGGGATAGCCAATTGGAGTAGAGTACGGGTGCTACTCTAATTACTTGGCAGAGTACCCAGCAATACTCCCTTGCAATACTACCACACATTTGCTTGGGGATTAACAAGGGCAGATTGATTGGAAAGCTCTTGCAAAGGCTTGGCTTTACTGCACCCTGTTAAGTCTTCAAGGAATGCCAACTTTTTCCCCTGCCATGAAAGGCAAGAGGTGAAGTTAACATTAGGGGCTGGAGGCCAGATGATCCTCAGGGGCTGATCCGCAGGGCTCTTAACCTCAGGAAACAGTAGTGAAAGAGTCTTGCATGACCCAGAGCCCCAGCCTGTGGGGTTCTGGAAGAGAGGTACCATACAGCTCGTGCCCGGTTAGTGAGAGGACCACTCAGTGGAAAGGGGACAATCTGGTTATCTAGCCTGCCTGTCACACAAGCATAACAGCTTGCAAACAGAATATCTAATCCATTCCAGCCAAGCATTTAATCCTGATACCCTGTTTCAATTGCTATAGTTTGTTTTAAATCTTTAACCTCTACAATTACTTTGGTTTTATCCTTGGATAGATGGTGAGAGAAGGTCCGGTTACCAGAAAACTTAGGAGAGGGAGAAGGGGGTGCAAGAGATGAGGAGGCAATAAAGCACATTTTAAAGTATCCTATGGGATCCTTCCCTGAGTATTCTGCTCCTATACCATAGAAATGACTTGGCGAACGGGAAGAACTCTGGAGAGCAGAGATGGTAATCTGTCTGACAATGGGGAGGGGTAACTCCTTTAGTAAAATGAATATATGGTTTTAAGAAACTGCAAGTACTAGTTGGGGCTGTCCATCCTTGCTGTTTAGTGGTCCACAGGACGTTGGACCAACTATGGCATAAAAGCTCTGTATCGAGGGGACAAGACTCGTGGTTGACACTGGGGTCTTCATCAAAATTTTCCCAGACTAAAGGTCCCAATTCAGTAATATCCAGTCTGAGTAGAGCCTGGAAGGACAGAGGTATTTTTCTGAAATGAAGGGCTGTCTTTGACTTGGCAAGTCCCCACAGGGTATAAAAATGCAAGCACCAAATGTAATAGCTTGAGGCAAAATTGACTTGGTTACATTAATAACTAGATGGTCAGCAATAGTGCAAGGAAAGAATAAAGAGTAATAGAACAGATTAAAGAGTGTTAAATTTTTCTTAGCTTTAGTATAGTAGGGTTCTCCCCTTGGACTATGGTCCATGACTCCGGGGACAGGGGTAGGAGGGGAGGTGGGGGCGGTGCCTTTTTACTTGGGTGTAGTGATTAGTCCATTCTTTTTCTGCTGTCCAGACTGCGGTTTCAGTAGTTAGGAACAACAGGTAAGGTCCTTCCTTCCTAAGGCTGATTTGAGCTTTTCCTTCTCTCCACATTTTGACAAGGACATGGTCCCCAGGCTAATGCTGGTGTGCTGGAAATTCCGGGGGTGGCATCTGCACTAAAAGACCTTTAGTTCTGAGGGAAGGGAAAGTGGAAGATAAAACAAGCATATAAACTGATTTTTTGTTTCAAATGTAGGGAGATCAGTAGTAGAGTGTCTTTTTGTAGAGCAGTTCCGACTCTTAACATGGTAATAGGTCTTCCTACTTTCCCTAATTGTTGTAACCTAGCAAGTACAGAATCACCACTGAGACCAAAGTAAGCCAATTCAGAGGGTCATTTATTGCCGGCAACTGTGGAGGACTAGTGTCTCTCCAACCCGTGGCCCCGAGCTCAGGGGGAGTAAGGGTTTTAAGCAAAAACCCACATCCTGGTGGGGCACAGCGTTCTTTTTTTGCAATCAGCGTTATGCAGAGCAAGCTAGCTATTTTTCATAGAAGCCAAGGTCAGCAGTTATTTCAAGGAAAACAGGGCAGCAAGGAATTATCACAAAGGAAGCAGGGCAGCAGTTACAACTTATTTTTGGAAAAACCATTTTCCTTGGTGCTTGCAGGGTGCAGGGTTTAAGATGGCATTGCTTAGGTTCTAACTCTGGGTCAGCAATGGCACATAATGAAGGTGTGTGCCAGGGAGTGCGATATTTCCATGTTACATGCAGTACTTGCGCTAATTCCCCAATGACATGTGTGATAAAATGAGTCCTATTATCTGAATCAATAAATACTTTAGAAAACAAATTGGAGGCATCGTTCTGTAATTAATCTGGATACTTCAGAATGGCCTTAAGCCTGGATTCCTTCCCCGGAGGGTTAATTCGTTTATTAGTTTTCTTACATACTAAGCAACTGTCTGTAACTTGTTTGACCAGGGTATAAATTTCTATGTACCCATAAACTCTGAGGACCACATCACACATGGCTTGAGACCCCAATGGGTGCAGTTGGAAGTAGATTCCACTCATAAGAAGTTTGGAAAACATTTTTCTCTGGTCTGGCAATAGCCATTTTCCTTCTGAATTCTCTGTAGCACCTATTTTTATTAGATTTTAGACAAAAGAAAGCCAAACACCATTTTATATTTGACAATGCTTCCTGTATGATTTTATACCAGTAAGTTTCACCTTTATATTAGTGTTCTATTAATATTAAACTTAATAAAATGTTGTAGACATATTTATCCAAATTTAATGTCTGACCATAAGGTAAGATATTTATATACTCTTTTTAATTCTGCATAATTTTTGTTAAAGAGCAGCTTAGTGCTTTTTAAAAAACAAAAACAAAAAACTGTTGTGCTTTTAAGGTCTAGTTCACAGAAAAACTGGATGATATCCCTTTAACATTACCCAATATGTTTACGCACAGAATTTCCTTTATGATTAACATTTTAAAACTTGCTTAAACCTTCAAAACATAATCTTGTGTGTGTGTGTGCATGTGTGTGTTTTCAAGTTTATTATCTTTGAATCTGTATTATTTTTACTGTTTTATCGTTGCCATAAACTGGAGCAATAAGAATAAGGTATTTGAGAGGTAGATGTGGGCGTTGGTGGGGTTAAGGTATGGGAAAGAGCATTGTGACAGAATGGTAACCTCTTCTAGTTACTGGAGAGCAGGCTCTGTTTAGAGCCCTTTGTCTGCCTCTGCAATGTCAAAGCTTTCATCTTTTTTTTTAATTGCATTTTAGGTTTTGGGGTACATGTGAAGAACTTGTAAGATGATTGCGTAGGTACACACATGGCAGTGTGGTTTGCTGCCTTCCTCCCCATCCCCTATATCTGGCATTTCTCCAAAACATAATCTTTTTTTACATGAAGGTAGAAATCCACGTTCTATACCTCCTTATAATCCTTTTACC